TTTGTTCAAACTGCAAAAAGTCGTAAAATACAACACTTTTTTTCTCACCTGCCCTTCGTTTAGATTTCAAGGGTTTTTTCTTTTTTCTTTTATAACACACTCTTTCAGCTCTTTTATTTAACTTTTTTCTAAATTTGTTAAACTAAAAAATAAAAGAAATGATATTTTTCTAATATAAAACACATACATTGCCATTTACATACAACTCCACTCTAATTTAAGGAGTTTTTTATTTCTTCTAACAATTTTTCCTTTTTCCCTTTTCCTTTTTTTTTCTTTTTTAGTTCAACGTATTTCTTCCAATAATACATTGCAATTCACATGGTCTTGGAATATCTCTCTCTCTATATATATATACATATTGAGTGTTAAGGTGAACACTTAAACAAACCCTTGTATTCCAAAAATTCCTCATTCAAATCCTCTCTCAGTTTCTCAGTTTCTACAATCAGTTGAGGATACAATATTTGGGCTAGCTAGGCTTGTTGTTAATTTAAGTATATTGTTGGGAAAATGGAATACTATTGTGTATCTTCAACCGACGCCAAAGGAATTGGGATTGGGAAGGTGAAGTGGCAGAGGAGGGGGAGGCGCGGCGGCCGGCACGGCGGCGGCTCTGTGCAGATGAAGATGAGGAAGCTGCAGCGGCTGATCCCCGGAGGGCGGGGGCTGAAGCCGGACCGCCTCTTCTTGAAAACGGCGGATTATATAATGCAATTGAGGTCTCAAGTTAATGTTTTGCAAGCACTTTCCAAGATTTACGAACCCACCCTAATTTCTAAATATTGATATTTTTTTCTGTTTTCTTGTAATCTTGTATCCAGAAAAGAAAAAAAAAAATTCATTGGCATTTTGGCCATCTTCATATGACATACACATATATGGGATTATGTATGTATGTTTGTGTAGATAATATCACATGACTAATTATCTCTGTTATCAATGTGCCCTCACCTTACATTCTTCAAATTTCATACTTTTATTTTATTTTCTCAGAATTATTGGAATGAAGAAACTCGTGAATATCCACATAATATTCTATTGGAACAAATTCTATTAATTCGTTGGGTAGGATGGCAGAAAAGGGAAAAAAATATATATAAATATGATCATGGCATAGTATAATAATTCTTTTTATTAATGTTTACAAACTTGAATTTTAAATCTCTGGTTTATTCCATTTTTTAATATATTTTGAAAAGATGGAAACATGGATATGTAAGAGATAAGAAGAGGAGAGGTGGATGAGTTGCAGCCACAAATAGTTCCAAATTTGGAAACTTTGAAGGAAATTATATGTGAAAATGGAAAAATAAAGGGGGAAATTAGAAAGTGGAGTAAAATAGAACCTCAATTTTTGGGCACAGAACAACACCCATTGGTGTTCCAAAATTCACAGACAGAGTGCGTTTTGATTGAGGCACCTCAACATTCTTTTGCCCTTTTTTTCTTGGGACTTCAAAACTTAATTTTCTACGCCATCTAATTACCTTAAATTTATATTATTCAGAAATTATCATCACAAAAAACAAGAGATTTATTGTTTTATCATTTAAATTCCTAAAATGTATACTTTAAAATAATAATAATAAAATTTGAAATTGAACTAGGTCACATGGAGTCAATGACCTAAACAAGTTGAACCATTGTGAAACTTATTATTTCATCTTAATTTCAAATCTTCCTTGGATGCATCTTTTAATTTATTTGGGAGGACCGTCAAAATCTGACATGCACGAGGCATCATGCATGTCTAGTAATAAAACTTATAATAAGTAAATTAGATCTAAAGGATGATGGCTAGGTTATTTCCATTGTTATATAATTTCAGGAGTACAAATTTGTATGATGTAATACGGGTGGCATAATATTTTTGCCTAGTCATTATGACTTCGTTAAATAGCAGAAAAATAAAATATAGAATTATTTGTGAAAAACTAAACAAAACTGTGAAATTTTACAGTTTGAGTTGTTGAGCTATGTATATATATTAATATTAAAAAATGTACCATCCACATTTTGGCAATAACTTGATTACAGAATCGACAAGCCTCATGCAATAATACTCAAAAAGGTTTCTTCTTCCATTACATATTGACTGAGAAATTAATATATATATATATATACACACACACTATTAATTAATTGCAATGGAAAGTTTATAGATAAGTCAATATTAATATAATTCAATAATAGAGATATCCATTCCCCATTGAAGTCGAAGATTCAAATTCTCACCTTTCACGTTTCTTGTTGATTCAACAAGAAACAATTGTCCATAAATAAAATAATATTGTAATTTCTTTATATAGAAAATAAACAACGTTATAATTTTGATCGGTAATATTGTCGTTTTCTCATGTAATTAAGAAACGAAAGTAATATAGGTTTTATATAAAGATCTGCTAAAGACTTGAACCATATAGAACTTACTACCGGTGTGACRGAGAAAGTTAATCAATCCATTAATTTTTTTAGAAAATAAAAAAAAAATGTGAGATCTATTAGACACGAAAAAATTCAAAACAAACTCAACACAAGATTGGAAGAAATAAGGCATGAGAGTGAGATCATAACAACTAAACTACCTTGACATATGGTAATTTTTTTAGCTTAACAATATGGTAATTTTTATTTTATTTTATTATTATTTTTTTTTTGAGCTCGTTTGGGATGGTTAAACTTCTACTCCCACACCTACCCAATGCCTATCCCATACGCGAACAGAATCCAATTTTAAACCACGTCGGTGGATACTCAAAACTGTGTCCCAAACAGATGACTAAACACCGACCCATAGTCTCTCCTTCTGGAAGCTGCTAAAATTTTCACACCTGGGGCTGGGGACCTGAAGCGAAGCAGTTGATTTGTGTGTCCAATTCTATTGAAGCTTCACAAATTCAAAAGCTTCGATCAGAAATCAGCTTTTTCTTTGGTTTCCCCAGCGACCCGTTTCGCCATTATCGGTTACGACACCATCCACTGCCCTTCCAAATATATCAGGCATCTAAAACCCTCGACGAGTGCGGGCCTCTGCAGCTGAGCGATTCTGTTTGGGCAGCGCCCGATCGTGTCGAAACTCGGAATCTTATGGCACATGCAACGCAAAGCCCCATTTCTAGTTGATTTCCCAATGACCCAGGTTGGTAAATTTCATTCTTCTGGTTCCAATTTGACCATCAGTTCAAGTTTAGGCGTTTTGGGTAGCGAGAAATTTCTGTCTATATCCTAGCATTTTCATTTTTACTGCAATCTTAGTTCAGGGCTGGTTTTGATTTTTATCTCCCTTTTGTCTTCAAATTTTTACCCACATTTGAACTGGCTGGCAGTGCAATATATAGCCTGCCAACTGCTTGCTTGTTTGCCTCAATGCAAGAGTTGCTTTGGTTTCGAGGAAAACGAGGAGGAAGACGACTGATATTAGAAAGATTTCAAGTAATTGGCTCGGTGTTGGATCGAAGGAAAAAAGAAAATGGTGGTGAACTAATTATGTTGGCGTTCTAAAATGTCTTTTCTTCATCCTCAAACCAGAGTCTTTCTGGTTACTCCCTCCATTTCCCCTCTGCATTCCTCTTCCCCATTGGCATACCAAAAACAACCAACTCCACCCACTTCCTCTAGCAGTAAAATAAGCCCTGCAGTTCTTTTAGTCATAGTTATTCTGGCTATTCTTTTTTTCATATCTGGTATTCTTCATTTTCTAGTGAGATTTCTTGTAAAGCAACGATCTCCATCATCAATATCTGAGTCCAATAGTAATAGGTTCCCTGAAATGTCTGAATCATCTGCTTTCCAAAGACAGTTACAACAGCTCTTCCATCTTCATGATTCAGGGCTAGATCAAGCCTTCATAGACGCCCTCCCTGTTTTCCTCTACACAGAGATAGTGGGTTTAAAAGAGCCATTTGATTGTGCTGTATGTCTTTGTGAATTTTCAGAACTAGACAAGCTAAGATTGCTCCCTACTTGCAGTCATGCTTTTCACATTGATTGTATAGACACATGGTTGCTTTCTAACTCAACTTGCCCTCTTTGTAGAGGGACCCTTTACTCTCCTGGGCTTGCCATTGAAAATCCCATATTTGGTTTTGAAGACTCAGAGGGAACAGAGGGGTCTGCAGAGGATGGAAGAATTGGTGTTCCTACAGCTCAAAAACCTCCAGAGAACGACATGTATGGTGAAAAGAGAGTGTTTTCAATCAGACTTGGGAAATTTAGGAACTTGAATAATGGAGGAGTGAGAGGATTGGAGAAAGGAGAGGGAGAGACCAGCAGTAGCAGTTTGGGGGCGAGAAGATGCTATTCAATGGGGTCCTACCAGTATATCGTGGCTGATTCAGATTTGCAAGTGGCCTTACGAACGAGTAATCGGACTGGTGGGCGAAGTATGAGATTCGTGAGAGCTAGAGATTCTCAAACTGGGAATTCCTTGATTGATGATGATGCTGAGGGGAAGAAGATTAACATTGGAAGTAAAAATGAAAGCTTTTCTGTTTCCAAAATCTGGCTGTGGTCAAAGAAGGCTCGACAGCCGATTGGTTCAGACGTTCATCTGCGAGCTAATTAAGGTTCTGGGGTTGTGCCAGAAACAGGTAACCTAAAGATAAGTTGAGTGAGGTCTTTTACTGTGTGTTTGTACTCTCTGCATGATATCAACGACCCCATGTATAAGAAAATGATAATGAAACGAATCTTTAAGGTATGGCTTATCATATGGTTATACTAATTAGAATGCAGTTATAGAATTATGGGCAGGCTTGCTTTTTAATTTTATTTTTTTGGAGTATGTGAATTTTAACCTCGAACCTCAAAGGAAGGGATAGATGTCATTTTCCGAGCTATGCTTTATGTTGGCTTGCGGAGAACTTTTGTCAACGGGAGGATATTGAATGGTGTGCATTCTTTGAGATAAAATCAGGTGGTTCAAGATTTGCAGAGGGGATCGTGGCCATGGCTCTTTTCTTTATCATTGCAAGGCCCCAAGTATGGGCTGAATTGAAGAACTTGAGGCGAAGATTGTTTTAAAGCATAATAAGACCAAAAGGTCACATCATTACTTTAGACTTTTGAGAGGTAATTCAAGAGAATTATATGTGCTTAATACCAGAGGAACTGATTATTTACTCGCTTAGGTCATAAATAGGGGTCAGATCTTGAGAAGTGATTCGACAAATTTTCCCAATCAATTAACATCGCCTATTAAATTTCACCAATTGGCAAGGCGGGCAAAAAATGAATGCAAAGAACGAAGACAAAAAAAACTCACATATCCATGTAATTCCTGCCCGTTAGAAATACTCTTGGGTATGGTTAGTTCTTTTTGGGGGAAAATGGAAAAGGAAAAAAAGTGTTCTTACATATCTATTTGCTTATCAATATATTCATTTCGTTTTTATGGACCGCAATTGCATACCATGCCACTTGTTACCATCCGAGTGCAATTCCCATCTGACAAAAGAAGGATTTTAGACGCATTTACAAGTTTTCTCTGTAGAATGTTGAAATTTGCAATAATAAAACAAAGTAAAATAATAAAGAAGAAAGCAAGACAAAATAACGAGAAGAAAGCCAGATATTCAATAGCAAATGGCATCGCAGTAGGTGGTTTCAACTTTCAAACTTCCAAGATTAAGATTTTACCTGCTACTTAAAATATGTTTGCACAGAAACTCGAGCCTTGCCCGGGAGATTTGATTATCGATATTATAATCATAATTGGTCGCCTGATTGAGCTACCCTACCACACAAATTTGGTCCAGAATCCAGATATACTTCTAAATTAATGAATTAAGAATTCAAAACAAAATTCAGTAGGTCCGAACCAAATAGAGCTTCTTTCCAGTAGAGGGAAAAGGAAAAAAGAAGAGGGTCCAAACTGGAGAGCTCTTTCAACTGGGGAATTACATCATGGTCCTGCATACATATTTCCTAGAAGCTTACAAGGGCAAAAGCATGAAGAAGGAAGATATAATATTACAAGCTCATCTTCCAATAAGAAAAGAAGACTTCTAAACAAATCAAATTGAATTCCTTTTTTTCTTCCTTTAAATGTTTCGCATGTTTATTCAACTTGGTGACTGTGGTTGGAAACGATAATGCTGGAGAGTAAAAACTTAAAAAACAAGTGGCAAGAACAGTACCTCCAATCCTTAATGTAACACTTGAGCTCCCACCTCTTCATGCAAGACAAAATTTTTATAACCAAATCCCCGTACAATAACTTGAAATAATGTACAAAACCACTCTGAAAAGAGATTCAGAAACAAGAGAGATGGAGGGCCAGAGTGATGTCATTGGATTTATAGAAATCCCAGGGAAGCAAAATCAGCCATCAATGCGCTGCAAATCAAACCGTCCAATTTGATGAATTGAAGAATAATATAAGAAACTAACGCTACAAACAAAATGAAGACTGAATAGGGCCAGTTTATCACCATCTTTACACTTTCAGAGCCGTCTAACATCACAAATTACGAGGGAAATTATTGACTTGACCCTCCTCCAAAATATCTTTGTCATCCACCTTGTACGCTATCCTTAGGCGCATCACAAGATGCTTCTGAAAACATCAATAATATTGTAAATTATGGGAGGAAGTAACAGAGCAAGCATCAATTTTTGGATAAGAAATTGAAGCCGACTAACAACAATTTTATGGTAATTCTAATAAAACGCAGTCACAACCGTGCCACAGTACATTGATATCTTGAATAAATCATTTAGTAGTAAAGATTCTTAGAAATAAATAAATAAACAGATGCAATGAAAATCATTCAACTGCCATGCGACACGCTACAAATCTAAAAATTCCAAAACAGAATTTTATAAGTTGAAAAAGAAAGATACCTTCCCATACTGGCTATTAGTCACTCTCAACTTTTGTGTGATAGACCCATTACCACCTCCAGGCAGAGTACTACCACTAGCCGGATCTAAATGCAATTGGAGGAACTGTTTCAAATCCCCAAATAAATGTCAGAACCATTGGTTGACCAGAAAATTTAAGCAGATATGAGGTAAGCGCCTATTATATTAAGATAAACTAGCGTGACCCTACTAATTTGAAGATTCCAATTCATGCATGTGGATGTGGCAACAACAATAAGCTAGGACAAGGCGTCCACAAAAGGCGCAAAATATTGCAAGCAAAATATTTCAAGGGGAATATGAGGTGAGGAGATTCCACAAAATAAGGTGGCTAAACACAATCTTCTAAAAACTACAAGCCATAAGGCAGGAGGAATAACCACTAAGCACTTTAAAAAAATAAAAATAAAAACCGTTGCTACTTTGATCTTTACTTTTTGTTTTTAAAAATAAGCATATTTGTTAACCATTTTTTTCTCGTGCTTTCTATGCTCTGATATCTTTGCCAAATTTCAGAAGTCCAAATAATATATATAGCTTTCAAAATTTAGCTTTAGATTTTAAAATTTACCTAACATTTCAAAATGCTATTTGAGAAACAGAGAACAGACAGTATGTTGTTGCTCAAGACACTATGAAATACCTTAATAATTAACTACCAAAGGAGATATCGGGTGAATTTGGTTAGTCACCCGATAAGTTTTTACCTTTGGAACTGCTGCCTGGAAAATGAAATTTGTATAGGTATTATGAGATAAATTCGTAAATGTGGCATGGATAAATGTCGTTTGTGGGCTCCCAGCTGCCTTAGAGAAATCAAAAGCTATTCTCAATGATCCGCTTTCGTATGCAACTATAGATGGATAAACTGAACCATTCTCATCTGGAAAAAAAAAAAGCTATCAAAATTTTGACGAGATTCATCTCAACTAAAGAGATTCGAAGCACCAATGACAAGTTTACCACCTGCACTTGCTGCGTTAGGGGACAAGGCACTCAACAAATCAATTGTAGGAGCAGGTACAGGAGCAGAAGGTTTGCTCGCAGAGAGAGGAGAAAGAGAAGAGAGTCCATCCAATTGAACAGTAAGTGATTTGTCTTGATTTGCTAATATGTCAGTAGCAGATGCAGTACTCTGTGTAGGTGGCGTCCCAATAGATAAAAGATCCAATAGAACATCAGTTCCACTTTTTGGAGCTTGATTACTTCCTGAAGATATTCAAAGTTTCCAAATAACAATTATGGGTTAACATTTGGACTGTCCATGAAGAAAGTAGCGACAAATTTTTTAGAAACATTCAAACTAAAGTTCTTCCAGATACACCAACAGTAGTCTAGTAGAGCATGCAGAGTATTTTCATAATTAAAAATACAACATCGATTGAGTGGTAGGAATATTTGTTAAATATCTAAAATTATGGCCTCACAGTTGACAGCCCTTCATAAAATTATGCAAACAAAATATTATAAGCACTACCAAATCACACAAATAAAATTCTACCAGATTTGAGAACTGGTAGTTGTTGCTTGTTTATCACCACTGTATTTATCTTCGTGAGAACTAAACCTCAAAATAGCGGAAATGAACATTCAACGTGAATGGAAGCAAGAACATGTGGAAATGAACATCCAACATCCACTCATAGTCATTGGGGACGTATTTGCAAGCTGAAACCAATGGTAGATAAGAGAAATAAACTTTTTTGGTCCCAAATGCAAGGTTAGGTATTTGACTAATCTGTGGATAGAGGTTTGGTAGATTTTCAAAAGATATTATTGGTTAAAAAGACTCTCAACTCTCATTCCAGATTTGGTAATGAATAAAGAATCAAGCTTATCAAGGTTGATAATGATAGACGTATGGTCAAATCATTATGGAGTTCTAAAAGAATTGGCTGGACTAAGGTGCAATCAAGGGAAAGGTCCAGCAGCATGCTCATTTGTTGGGATGAAAATAGAATTGGTGTTAAGTCATGAAAGATTACAGAGAAAGAAAGCATCTATACATGAAATTAAAGTCCCTGAATTCTTATATTGACTCCCCTTAGTGTATTTCGGAGGGGATTTCAACATTATGCATTGGTGACTGGTCATATAAACGATCTAGTGGTGGGAGAAGAAGTCGCAGAAAGAGGTTTAATAGCATTATTGAAAACTTTGGGAATCCTGCTTTTTAATGGGTATTGGAGCAGCCTTTTCTGCTGAACTCTTCTGGGCTTTCCTTCCAAAATTTTGGTCCTTGGGACAGTGGATTAGCAGTTGTGTTTTGATGGTTTTGATTTTAGCTTTTCTGGCTCTTCGTTCTTTCCTTCTGGAGATAATTTTGTTTCTTTGGGTTCTTTTCTTTGTTCATCAATGTTCTATTTTTAGCTATTATAATTTTTGGCATATTTTGCTTTATTAGTTTGGTTGCGTGTTCTTTTCACCTCTCTGATAGTTTGTATCTTTGACCTTCTTTCTTTTCCTTTGTCGAGGAAAAATTTGTTTCGTGTTTCAAAAAAGAAAAAAAAAATCAAATGAGCCATGTGAGGCATGGTCAAGGATAGCAGTGCTGAAAGAAAATTGTAGAGTTTGTAAATCCTAAAAACAAGTGTTAAATCGAGGAAAATGAAAGTAGCCGCTTGATGCAAAGTAGAAGTCAAGAAGTTCACAGAACGGTCAGGATAAAATAGATATACTATGCTTTCAAAACTAACCGGATTGCTCTGGAGCTGCGGTCAAATCAAGCCCAAGAAGATCCTGAATAAAATCACTACCAGAAGAGCTAGGCACAGGGACATCATCCGAACTTAGATCAAGTAAATCAACTAGAGGAGCAGCAGATTTGGAAACTCCATTTGGAAGAGTAATTGCAGCCCCATTGGAAGTCGAAACTGATGCTGGCATAGAACCAGCCCTTTTTCCAATGAACGTAGCCTCATCCAAAACTGGCATCCTTTCAACCAATGCAGACCTGAAGATGCGCGTCCATCAGCTCTGTAATATTTAATGAAGCTCTAATATCGGTGCATAAAGTTAAATTCTTCCTGTAATGAAATTTGGCGATTTCATATTAGGGAAAGAAATAAACATCACACTGAGTAGATACCTCATATTCTGATGATTTGCAATGATGGAATTGAATTCGATTGATCTTTGCTGCAATTCAAGCACAAGGCTTCCTTTATATTGAACAATTAAATGGTTGACCCTCCTGGAAAGAATAGTCATTAAAGATTTCTATTAAAATTACAAAAGGAGTCATGAAAGATTTGTAACATTTCATCATAGATAAATATATTATGCCTCGTGAAAATTATTGAGGGTACTCCTCATCTCATTGACCTTTTGGACGTTCTTATTTCCCTAATAAAAGTCTATGTTTCTTATGAAAAAAACACACCCACCCCACCCCCACCCCCCAAATTGAATAGAATGAAATTTCTTGGAATCATTCTGCAGTAACACCTGATCTCCAGCAGCATGTGGTGCAAATTTCTCAGTTTAATGGCGATTATGTTGTGGCAAATCTGATAATTTTTTCTTTTTATCAGATAACACGTTCAGCATTCTTCATTCATCAGGAGAGGGAAGATTTTCTGGCATTGCTTGGTTTGGTTAACATCTTATGATAACTATAATGAGCATTTTGGAGGTTAGGAGCTCCATATATTAAAATGCTTCATTGTGTCTCAATTAATCCTAACCTCATGAGAGTCGTTTTCTTATACAAACAGTTGCTGTAAGGTTCAGTTGTAAAGGCCGGGAGAAAAGTACAGCTTTTCATAGAATTTGGGTAGTGGCTAGTTTTTTCCTTTTAGAAGCATTCCATCACTTCGATGGTTTATAATTTAATTCTTATTTCCTATCCAGAAAAGGTTATTTTAACCGAAATTTTTACCGATACATTGCATGTTCAACAAAAAAATTGTTTCACTCCAAAAAAAAAGATCTTTAAGAGATGAGAAATTTAGTGTCTTAGCTCCCAAGGGGCAGCCCTGTTAGCCAGGACTTGGAGTCTCTTTATCATACTAGCTTAGAGGTCTCAAGTTTGTTTGAACTTTTGAGTGAACTTAATACAAAAAACCCTTGATGTCTCCCAAGTATGGGCCTTGGGACAAGCACGGATGCCTCCGATATAGGGGAGCAAAGATCCAGCTCCCAGTTATTATTTTATAAAATTAAAAGAAAAAAAAAGTCTTGACTGTAAAAAACATCAAAAAAAATTGTTCCACCCCAAAAGAAAATAAATCTTAAAGAGATGAGAAATTTGGTGTCTTGATTATAAAAACAAATAAATGTTCAAACCAAGTGGCAGATGTCCTTAGGTAATGAAAGGAGCATAATGACGAGTTATTGTTTCTTTTTCCATCTAGTTTAAGCAACATTTAGAACTAAACGAAAAAGATATTTCCATAAGAGAAAATAATCTTTCATCATAAGTACACAGACACAGACACATCATAGACACAGCAACACACCAATTTAACAAATTTAGGACACGGAGATGTTGGAGACATGTTATTTATTTCTTAATTTTTTAGATAGTCTGGTGGCAAAGGTTGGCAGTGGTAGCGGCAGCGGCAGCGGCGAAGGGCTTCTCATGCTTCTCTATTTCATGGGATTTGTGGGAGGCTAGGGCTTCTGACTTCTGTTTTGTTTTTTAGTTTTTCTTCTTTATTTTTTTTAAGTTATGGACTTTATTTATAGGCCTTCTGTTTAGTTTTTAGGCTGGGTCAGGCATGTCCAGACGTGTTCGGGCCGTATCCCAGACCAAAATAAAAATTAAAAAAAGAAAACTAAGACACGTAGATTGATGCATCGGACAGGACATATCCATGTCCAACACGGACACTCTGCCTAAAATGGATTTTAGTGTCAGTGCTTCCTAGCTTCCATCCAAGGAAATTAAATGTCTTTCAACCAAAAGGCAGGGAGAAATAAATCTATTACCAAACATTCAGAGGGAATTTCATATCATCAAAAAAGATTGGCACTAGCATTCACGTACTCTGAACATGATGGGAAACGAGAAGAGAGCTTCAGCAAAGCAATCATAGCCATTGCTTTGGTCGTGAGATCTGAGCCATGGCGTTTAATAGCAGTTTCAGCAACATCTACAGCATCAGATTCCGTAACCTGAGAAGAAATTCAGTTATTCATTAAACAGATCCAGAGAAGAAATCCACAACACAAGGAAGCCCAAAATGATAGAATTTGCAACTAGAAAATAATATGAGCTGCATTATTGGATTGGCTTAGATCCAGGGCAAAAGGATTTGGTAGTTTCAAAACCACCACCATGCTCCAACCTATGATGTACCAAGAAAGATGTACGGTCTAACGAGGCATTACTACCCAGAAGGAAAGATAGAGAAACAAAAAATAAATCTAATGGAGTTAGTCGTATCGATTAGCATATCTTTACTGGAAACAGTCCATATTAGCAGATGAATTAGAAAGCAATGACCAGAAAAATACAAAAAACAAGTAGAAGGAATACAAAGTCATGGTCCATGGAAATGACATTTGAACTTTTACACCAAACAAAAATGATTTTACCACAGATATTCAACATTATCAATCGAATTCCAGAAGATATCCATTAATTGTTACAGATTTTTCTTACAAGCTTCTCATGCTGAGGTTAAACCTAGGTTTTATTTATAAGAATTAAGAACAACAATTATCATTAGGTATAATTACCATTTTAAAGGCACATACATTTTTTACATAAGAAACACTTGTATTGAAAGTGAAAATGCATATTTAGTGAACGAAGGCTGCTATCCACCAGCCCCTAACTCAAAGAGTCCAAGCACAAAAATAGAAAAAGCAACTGAAAAAATAGCATAGGCATAGTTGCAAAGAAAAACAAAAACATTCAACTAAAATTAAAAATTAACTTGGATATAGTGTGTTCAGGATTTGTTTTGTACTTCCTATTTGAGTTTGTTTTTGTTGTTAGTTTTAGTTTGTTAGTTTGTTAGTAATTGGTTTCTGGTTTCTTAGTTAGTAGGCTCTAAAAAATAACAAAGATCCTTTGGTAGAGAGTTCTTGGAGATTTCTGATACTAGGTTGCATCAAACTTTTTTTTTTAATTATCCTCTTCTAGTTATTGGTGCCAATTAGAGTGCTTTGACGTGAGCCCCTGGGCAAGTTGTGAGGATTTCTAATCCTCTCTTTCTTATTCCTTGCTCTTTAATGAAACTGGTTTCTTATCCCCTTGGGAAAGGGTGGAGGGGTCATGGTAACTAGCTGGCAGCGCTGAACCTTATCCATCCCAAATCACAAACAAACAAACAAGCACGAAAATCATATATAGGAGCACAGAAAGAGTGCTTACAACTATGGAGTCCTCTACATCAAGCATTCCAATATTATTTACCAGCATGTCGCCATATTCCCCAATGCACCAAACTGCCACTCGAACAAGACTTTCCTGCTTAACATGTCAGCATAGGCATAAAGGAATACCCACTTGTATACTTGGTGTGGGGGTGTATTTGAGAGTGTGTGACTGCGTGTTTGTGTCTGCATGGTGGGGGGAACAATTTGGTGTTTACGTTATCAAAAGAGAACGACTGAATACCTGTTCACTAGATATCTGAAATGCTCTGTATAAGGCCCTTACAGTATACCCGTGGAGGTCAGATGCATTGCTTATCACGACAATAAGGGCATGCCATACTTCATCTTTAATAAAATTTCCAGCCTACTAAGCAAAGCAGAAATATCAGAATTTTTATCAAAGGGAATATGAAATTCAATGTGCTGTAACACTTGATGGCAGGTTTATAGGATAGGATGTCACAGCTCTTTGAATCAACAACAAATTGAATGGATTCCCGGAGAAAAAATTAAGAAACAAAGAAAAAATAAATGAGAACACTCAAAAGAGGAATCGGCACCCAATGATAAGAAACAAAGCGCTGAAACTGTGCTGTAGAAAGAATTGTGGCTCCGAAGTTCATTCAGCAGACTCGGGAAATAGAACATTAAGAAAACATTTGAATTGATATCTATGACCATCCAAAGAATGCAAAAGACAATAATCAAGCTAGAGATAAATCAAAGATTATCAAGACTAACATATGAAAATTCAAATTATACCTCAGAGAGAACCTTCAGCATCTGATCAATGTACCAGATTTTCTCTGGAGAGTACCTGAAGCACCAGGATAAATGTTAAACAGAAACATCATCGCTATAAATCTGTCTATTATCTTTCTTATATATATATATACATAAGAGAGAAAAAGTTGTCTCAAGTTAGTTTCTACTAATCCTAAATCCTTATACACTTGGCTCTCCCAAGACAAAAGACAAATGGAAAAAAAAAAGGAAGAAAAGACTTGTGGTGTTAAAAAGTAAGGAAATGAAAACCAATAAAATACCACATTTCAAGTAAACTAGTTTAGAGTACAGTATCGAAACTTGCTTAAAACTTAAAATTATTAACCCATTTAGAGCATAGTCACTTCTTTTTTGTTCGAACGGTGACCTCTATGAGTAAGATGAATTGAAGATGTATCCAGATGATATCAGAAATTATTGACTCATTTTAACCATTTTTAACATTATGAGAAACCACTTACATTTCATTTCATTAAAGAATGAAATATAAAAAAAGGAAGGTGAGGCCCCACGGCAACTTCAATGGAGTTACAATAAGACACTTGGGTCAGATGAAATATAGGAGAGTAATCACAAAACCGTTCAAGCAAGCACACCCTGAAGAAGCTAGAAAACCAATAGTATTCCAAATCTCACTATCTAATTACCCACATTGTAAAGATCACATATTCCTTTCCAATCCCAATTCCCACAAATTGGCCTAGTAACAGTGGAAAATCATTAAGGCCAGCTTGCAAGAAGAATGAGGGAGAGAGGACAGAACGTCACAGGAGACAAGGGAATGTCAACTTGTTCACTTTTTTCTTTTTCTTTTTTTTTTACTGAAAATGGAAAGAAAAAGGCAGTGGTTAAAAAATAACATCAACTGTAGAGCTCACTTTGCAACAATTGAGCAAATTTTTGCAGTAAGATCTCCCTTAAATTCTTGATCAGCAACTTCCAGGTAATCAATAAGCTCTTTTGTCAGAGGCTTGACATTGCTATCATTTATTAGAAGGTAGACAAGTTCAAGGGCCCTCTTCCGAATTGAAGCATCTGAATCCTGAGACACAAAACAAAACTCAAAATGTTTTCAAAGTCCCACTGTTTCCTCCACAAGTTTGCATAAGAATTTCAAGAAGGTATAAGCATTACACAGTTACGTGTTTATCCAAGATTTTCTATGAATTACTCAAACCAGTATTCTCCAAATAGCCTATTTCCAGTTCCACGCAGAGTTCACCCAGAATTTGTTATAAATTGTCACTCTCAAAATAGTTTACAACTAATACCAAATAAGATAAAATTAAAATGAGAAAATATTAACAGAACAAAAAAATCACAAGTGTGAATCTGTGATTACTATCCCAAACTCCCATCACTTCGCTTACAGCTAGTTTGACAATTTATTAATGACCAATGGCCTGTGCAGTCAGAGAATGATGGGAAGACTTGGAAGACTAGATTCATTCATAGTTCATAGGAGGAAAAGACGATTTAACAAAGAAACAATACTTCAAAAATGAAAAAGTCAAAAGAAAACTGCATGAACAAGAACTACAAAATACCTTTACACATTCCAAGATCGTTGTCCGATGTCTCTGCACTGCTTGACCATCTACTATGATAGCCTTCATAAGCATGTTTAATGCTACATATCTAATAAACATTAAAAGAGCAAGAGGTTGATATATTGGAGATTAGCCAGCGGTAAACAATTATAAATTGAGTTCTAGAAATGCATTCAATTAATAGTTAGGTCCTAGGCAATTGGCCAAACTTAAAAAACACCCTTAATCCATAACCTCCATTTCAATCGGTTATATCGATGGTGAAGCAACAAAACTTCCTGTTATTGTCAATAATATCTTTATTAAGTATGTATGTAATGGCAAACCTTGATGAGTCAATGATTTGTGAGATTTGATAGGAGAGAGTTACAGAATCTTTAGTAACAAGATAATGAAATGGGAGGAAATAATAGACAAATCTAGATTTAGTGCTTCTCTTTGGTGCTCTATTGCAAAGATTTTTTGTAAATTCAAATCTTCGTAATTAACTCAAATTGGATCGCTTTTTTATAAGCTCCACAGGAATTCATACTTTTGTAAGCTTTTCGCTAAATTAATGAAAAGCTCTTTCTTTTCATTCCCAAATAAACCATGACAAAGTGCAACATTAGGCAATATACCATCATCATTTGCACACCATAAAAATATAAATGTAAATTTTGAAACAAAAATATCAAGTTGGTACGGAAAAGATGATTATTTCACACAATTTCATACACTCTACGCAATAGTATTCTCATGGAGGCAACTTAATACACAATAAAACAGAATACTTGAGTGTTATCAACAGAACCTGATATTGTTATCACGATTAGACAAGAATCTTCCCAGTATATTGATAGCGAGAACACGTAAGCCGCCACTATCTTCTATACTCATTATAGTTTCAACACACTCGTATAGAATAGCATTCCCTGAGTTTTTGTTTGATTCAGTTTTCGTTGCCACCTAAGAGAAAACACTTGTCAAATTTACACAGGAAACAGAAAGGAGAAAGGTTGTTTGAATAAAAGTCACAACAATCAGTGGCGGATCAGGTATCAGCATGAACCAGTATAAAGTAGAGCAACGGTCATATGGTCAAAAAAACATAACCAGGTGAATTAAATTTTAGAAAAGAAAATAAGATTGACTCCATTGAAATTTTATGCCAAAATCAAATTATAAAGCTATACGGTAAAAATACGGTGTTTTTGTCCTACATGACCAGAAAAAAGTACAAGAAAAGTGACCTATCAATGACCTAAGTTCAATAGGATGCTGTCTATATCTCTAGTGAGAACATAAAATCTAGACAATTTGCATGATGCTTCCTCCCATAATACCAGGGATACTTGGAATAAGAAATGGAGAGCGATAATAGGTCTATGTCCGAAAATAAGAATACATCTGAGATGTCTATTTTCTACAGTAAAAGAACCTGCAAGATCCAGGAATTTAATAATATGATAGTAATTTAAAGTTTGCCTTTGTTACTGGCTGAAATTTACCTGTGCAAGTATATCATTCATACAGTCACTAGCATCTTCATCTCCTTGGCCCAAGACGCGCAAAAATTTAAGCAACCGAATATGGAGAAATGGGTCTGTTATTCCAGCAATATCATACTCGGGAGCATATGGACTGTTCACCAAATCCTTCAATGTCTTGACTACGCCCTCTGTTGACTTCTGTAGGGAGGTAAATAACATTTCTAATATAAACAAAGACCAAAAATCATAGTTCCATTATTTAAATGTAACATAAACATTGTAGTATACAGAACTCATTTAAAAAAAAATACTAGTAATCCTTGATTAAAATACTCCAAGAATCACTAAGAACATACAAAATGGCATATTACTCGGTGTAAAATTTACAGAGTATCGCAACTCCTTTAGCCCATATAGCCTTGAACAACAAGTTGCTTTTCTTTACTGATGGAACCAATTAAATTGTGGGCTGATTAACTTACAAGTTCAGAAGAGAGATAGAGTTGGTTGGCTGCAGCTGGTGTATCATAAATGAATCAGACTGAAATGAACCACGATAAACAAATCCAACACCATAACCAAGAAGATAGATATCATTAAATGTCACCCAGCAAGCAAAGAATAGAACACCAGTCTCATCACAGTCAGTCACCAAGTTCAGAAGAGTATTAACAATCCATGCAGAAAAAAACATGTCAACCAATAAGGGCATGGTCAAAATACCTTTCTAAAATATTCCAGGGCTTCTGAGCTATGTTTGCAAAGTTCTGTACAAAGTTGAACTCCTGTTATCATAACCCCATGGTGCTTTTCTTTCAGTAAGGAGGCAGCAGGGTTAACAAAATTTTCTGCAAGGTCTGGTACTTTCCTTATAATCCTTATAGAACATAATGCTGCCTGCACTCACCATCAGATACTCTCAAGTTACAAGAATAAAACAATTTAACAGCAAAAATAGAACCTTTTTAGTATTTGTGAAATTCCTGAAAACGAATTAAAAAAACTTTGCTTAGTCATGAAATGAGCAACCACAACAGTAGTAGCGGTAATAGAGGAAAACCATATAACAAGTTCAAAAGCTTAAAACCTGACTCACATCTTTTTCACCTATATGGAAGATGTGCTCTTTTTAAAAGAAACTATTGCAATAAATAGGCAAAGAGTTGTCGAACATAAATGACTAGAACAAAATAACCTTCATCCTCGAACAGGGAAATAGAAGCTTAAACACATTACTATATACCCTACTTCTAAATCAGAAGAATTAAAACATTGCACATTATTACATGCAACACTCACTTTCTTCCTAATATTTGGGTCACGAAACTGTAGCAGTCTTTCAACTTCTGGTGCGAGATCACGAGCCATTTCAGCTGAACAAATATTTCCTAAAGCACAAAGAGCAAGTCCTACAATGTACTGGTTTGAGTGGTTGAGATCTCTGAGAGCAATTAAGGTAACTGCAAAAGCTTAAAATCTTCCTTCTTAAATGTTCTTGCAGATAATATACCTCAAGTAATTCTCAATATAATGAACTTCCGAGAAAAATAATAAAGATCTAAGATTACTAAAGCAAAAATGATGAAGACTGGATACTGTTTTAATGAGTTTGTGACCAACATAAGAACTTCTTGTCTTTCATCCAGAAGTAACATGAGGCCAAGATACCCAATTCTCTTTTCTGGGAAACCAGCAGATGCAATCAACTTCAGGCATTCCATTTGACCAAAATGTGTGGGATAACCAAGCATGTGAATGAACATGAGCTTTGCAAGATTTCGATGCCTATAGTCATGATCATTTTCATCAATGGCAGCTCGAATAGCAGCACACTCTTTTCGAATCACAGCACGTTCCTCAGCTGCAGTTTTGCAAGCACGAATAGCCCGAATCATGTCCCTGTATTAAAGCATCAAGTAAAATAATCATATGACAGAGAGAGCCTTTGGCTAAAGATTTATTATGTGACTTATAAAAGATAGCAACGCAACTGATACGCCAACCATTTATGAGTTACAGGTCAATGAGGTAAAGCTCAATATAAAACAAGTAGAAATTGGAAATAAAGGAGAAATTTCTTTTATTAATAAATAAAAGTAGCACTATCTTCCGAGTGTATAGTAGTTGCATAGTTGGAACCTCAGGATATAACATGAAGACACATAAATATTTCTTTATAACAAATATTTCAGGATTTGTTACTGGATCAGAAGTTTCAAGGACTGCTAATTCACAAAAAATCTCATGAAATTCGAGCATCAGGGCAGATCAAATATTTAAAAGCCGACTCACAAGATAGCACTTCAACTACAAGTATTTTCTAAAATCCTTCATACCCTTCCAAAGATTTCATGCTCACATCAAACGTAATAAATATTTTGAATGCGAATTGGAAGAAAGAGAAACTTTGGAAAGGGCTGCAGAAGTATGTCGTACTTCGTGATGATCACAGATAACCATCAATAAATGGGCAATGAGAAGCAATAACCCTAAATTGCTAGGTACATAATTTTGAACGAACCCAGATACCTACAGATGCCAAACCACTGTGTGAGTGATGATTCAAAGAACGCGCTTCACTGGTTACGTATAACTACCCTCGTATTTCGATAACTGACTCAGAATTGGCCCCTAAATCTAGCCCGCTTAAACTTATTGAGTGAGGCCACTAATAAAACCCAACAAGCATGACACTGCTATTGGAAACCCCAACCTAAGCACTTGTTATCAATTCCAGCAAAGAGAAAATGCAAGCTTCAGCTGCTAAATTCCTAGTCAATACACAAAAACGGTCCTACACCTCAACTCCTATATCACGAATTGCCTAATTACGCAAGAATTCCATTCCGAAAACCAAAAGAAAACGGAAAACAGTCCAATAACAACAGGTGGAACAAATAAGAAGTGAAGTAGAAAAGTGATCTGCGAAAATGGGCACAATACGGTAGGAAACTCACCTGAGACGCGTCCCGGACGAGAAGGGATTCATTGTTGACTCCCGGTCGAAGCTCCAACAAAGGTATACAAGATCGGAATGGATATCAGGAGTAGCGGCTAATTAATCAGAGGTCTCCAGATTAAGCAGCGATTTGAATGTTGTGAAGACGAAATCCGAGATCCGAACGGGTCTTGAAGAGATCTGAGATGGGGAGTAGAGAGAGTTTGGATCTGAAGATATGTTCGAGCCTGTGTCGGGCTTTCTCCTTCCTACTTGTGATGAATGCGCTAGCTCTTCGACGTTGTGAATGTGATCAAAACTTAGAAGAGAACATAAAATTGAAAATAATTAAATATAACAAATCAAATAAAAGGGAATGAACTGAGAAACACACACACTGAGAATTTTTTCTCCTTTCCTTTTTCCTTTGGGGAACAGTTTTCATTAACGTTACCCGTGTGGCGGTTTTAACTGGATCACAGCCGATCCTGAGTGGGTGAATCTGGCATAAGTCTTGTACTGTCTATCACGCGCAAAAGGACCAACTTCTCTTCTGCGTAACAAAACGACGTAGTTTAGGGAACATTTGCACTTTGCATTGTGGTCACTTTATTTTTTATTTTTTAATTTAGATAGGTGCCTTAGTCTCGGTTATGCTCGCATTGGCTTTAAAAGCTATGGGTTAATAAACCACTTATTATGTTGTTGGGAGAGGCATTCCAAATAACAAGTTGATAGAGTGGCTTTAATTAATTCTTATATATTGTAATTCAAATAAATTGGTAAATAGACACAGTAATTTATAAAATAGATTTATCATAATTCATAACTAATTGAATAGATAAAAGTACGAATAACGTTCACTGTGGTCCATGATAATTATTCTGATACATGCTTATCTATATAAACACAAATAGGTGTTGTATATATATATATGTAAAAGCAGAAATTGGATTTATCGCCAGTAAATAATCAAATTGTTTTATAATAGCTCATCTAATTAGGAAGAATATACTCTCTGTAGGTTGAGGTATTTATTATTATTATTTTTTAGTTGGAAATATATGTCAATTACCGAATTGACACTTATTTTTTAAAATTAATATAAATTGATTAGGAAAGATTAATGAAGGTTAAGTTTACTCCTATGCTTAAATTCATTATTTTGAATTATGTATTCACCTGAGGGATAATCTTCTGAATAATTATTAACACTTTTACCAAGCTATTTTATAGAGTTGTTTCTATCAAATGATTGGCTTTCTTTATACTGCCCATTAAATCACTTTCAACAGCCAATACTATCAAGGAAAGAACAAATCAATTATTCTTAAAAAAAACAATAAGATATAATTAAAAGATAATTGTCTAAATAGATTTCTCCTGATTTTCATCTTCAATAAATAAATAAATAAATAAATAAATATATATATATATATATATATATATTTACACTGCAGGAATAACACTGTCACATTTCCCCAGTTCCCTTCATATCATTGCACGCAATACACACAACTCACAAGGGGTTTTCAATAAGCTAAAATTTGCTACTGCAATAAAATAACAAGAGAATCACCCAAAAAAGAATGAGCATCAAATTCATTCATACTTTATGCAATGCGGCCAAGAAAGAGTTCTTCCTATACACAAGTTAATGGAGCCCCCTAATGTATAAAACAAGCCACTATTGACATCTCGAGAAGAGGACAATTTTAGTGGGCGTCAGTTAGTTATAAATGATGTTATTATATACAAAACGAAACTCTAGTTCTCAAGGATATTGATGAATACACCAATATCATTTTTCAAGTTAATCAAACCGGCTCAAGAGCAGAAAACTGCATCACCAAAAGGTGACAGGATCCGTGCATCATCAAATTCTTGCCCATAACCAGACTCCAAACGCAATTCTATGAAAGAAGCAACCATTCGTGTGGATTCAGCGAATTGATCTTCCGTGCCAGGTGACTTCACAACCTCCAACTCGTACGGTTTCAACCCAATCCTCTGTTCAAGCACTCCAGTAATGGAAAACATCTTCTCTCTGCCACCAACTATTTCAAGATTCAAAAAACACTCTCAAAAGAAACTCGCATTTGTGGTAGATGCCGAGGTCTCGGACGTGAAGAAAAGGCAAGGCCTTGCAGCAATTTCACGACGTCGGAAGTATCATCGAGGTAAAACTTCGCCTTGCTTGGCTTTCGCCCAACAGTGCAGGCAAAAATTTCTGGAGCGGAAGGCAAGGATGGACTAGAGACTGTGCTTAATATGCTTTCAAACATATCTTCATCTGATCTATCATCTCCAATGCACATAACGAAATCAGGTGGTCTTCCACTATTCACCATTCTCGAGAGAACCTTTTCTGCGACCAACCCTTTGCTTACTCCCTGCGAGTAACAGCTCAAGAAGATATTACACTAGAGGTATAGTATACATACTAATTTGATAAGATAAACCAGGTAGAACCAGGAAATCAAAAAGAATACCTGTGGCTTCACTTCAACAATATGCTGGCCCCTTTTAACGACGACTGGATCGTTGGCAAGTACGTTTTCTAGATGGTCCAGCAATTCCTTAGCTTGACAGGATCCGAAGTCGGAATCAGCATCTTGATGATGCCAGACTAGAGCACTCTCTTTGGTTTCTATGCACGAGCCATCTGTTGCTTCCGTATATAGTCTCATCACTGGCTCTACAATCTTAATCCAATCCAGATCAGAAGACAACGGACTGAGTTCCCATTCTGAAGTTCCACCCCACCTGCAAAATGTAAGAAGCTTAGGAATTCGACCCCAAGAAACTTACACTAAAAAAAGGCAAAAGCTTAACATGAATCGAACATTTTGACTAAATACCTTATAAAGTACCCATGTTCTGCTGCAAGTCCCAACATCTCACAAGAGGCAAACCACTGACCTAAAGAACTTCTTCCCCTCCCACTAACAATGAACACGGTGTTACACGGGTCATTGCAAAGCGTGGTCAAAACAGAGATAACTTCAGGGCTTGGTGTCTTAATTATAGAGCTTTGTGAGATAATAGTGCCATCGTAATCCAAAAATATCGCCCTTCTATGTGTTCTTTTATAAGCTGAGACAATGTGATCAATTGATAACTTTCTAAAGCCAGGAGAAAGAGAAACAACTCTAAAACGCAGACCCAACCCAATTCCCCAGCACCGTTTACTGTAGTGATCTAGACATGCTCTCTCTAAATCTTGCATAAAACTGCGAGACCAATATCCTACATCATGGGAACTGACATATCGATAATGTTTCTCGTGCCGCAACTGCTTCTCTGACTCCTGCATGGTTATGGCCAGTTCCAAGGCATCGGCAACAGCATCAATATCCCAAGGGTTAACCCTGATAGCCCCACTTAAAGAAGGCGAGCAGCCAATAAATTCAGACACTACAAGCATGCTCGTCCGAGGAGAACCAACTTCTATGCCCATAGCCTCATCCATATGGGGAGTTCCTTGCCTGCAAACAACATACTTATATGGAACCAAATTCATACCATCCCTTACAGCACTCACTATGCAGCATTCTGCTAAAGCATAATAAGCAGTCTTCTCAAAACGTGGAACGGGGCGATCAATCAGAATTACTGGTTTGTAGTTATTTGAACCATAAGCTTCATTGATCCTTTCAGCAGCTAAGTACGTTTCCTTCTGAGCTTCATGTACATCTTTCCCTGAACCCCTTGCAGGGTTCACTATTTGAACCAGGACTATTTTGCCCCGCAACTCAGGATGCTGCCGTAAAAGCTGTTCAACGGCGAGCAGCTTCAGGCTTATACCCTTAAAAATATCCATGTCATCAATACCAAGAATTAATTTCTTCCCCATGAACTGATCTCGAATTTCTCTGGCTTTAGCAGATGTAGATGGAAGATTCATCACTGATTCTAGCCTACCCATGTGAATGCCCACAGGCAGAATTTTGATATATACGGTGCGGCCAAAATAATCTAGTCCAATATGTCCCCGCTTAGATTCATAGTCCAGGCCCAACATTCTGCTACAGCAAGAGAGGAAGTGACGAGCATAATCAAACGTATGAAAACCAACTAAATCACAATTTAGCAGGCCACGGAGAATCTCATCTCGAACTGGTAAAGTACGGTATATTTCTGATGACGGAAATGGGCTATGCAGGAAAAATCCAAGTTTAACTCGATTGTAGCGCTTCCTCAAAAACGTCGGAAGAACCATTAAATGATAATCCTGAACCCAAACAGAATCTTCCTCAGGATTGATGATCTCCATTACCTTGTCAGCAAATATCTTATTTGCAGAAACATAGGCTTGCCAAAGCAGCCGATCGAAGCGGTCACCGTGTTCTGGGCACATGGGTAGCATGTAATGGAATAAGGGCCATAGCTGCTGTTTGCAGAACCCAAGATAGAATTTCTTCTGGAGATCATAAGGTAGAAATGTAGGTACACACTGAAAATTGTCGAACAGCTTCTGAGCAACCTCTTCCTGTTCGCTGGCATCGATTTCAACTTTGAGGGAACCTACGTATATAACCTCTGTCTCAGGTGAAAACCCATCCTTTGCCTGCAATAGAATTGAATCCTCGTCTAAACTGAAGCACCATTTGCCAGACTGCCCATCTTTTTTAGCTTGCAAGGGCAACATATTTGCAACTATAATCTTCCGCTCACGGTATACAGATGAAGACTCCGAATCTCCGTCGTTGCTCCCATAATCATCCAATTCAGAAATAATTCCGGGAACAGTCATTACTCGTGGCAGGGACCTAGGTGTACGAGGAACATCCAGTAAATCTCCCGAAGCCAGGTCTAAAAAGTTTGAGGACGATCTTGATGCCATGACTCGTTTTTCGTTTGTTCTTTCCTCTTAGTGGCGAATCATACGGAGGGAACCAGAAAGACAAGAACTTGATCTGCGAATAAAGTGCAAGCACCCTCAAACCTACACAACGGACAACAAACAATGTTTAAGTCTCACATCTTTACTGGGTAAATTTCACTTACGCGAAATTCGATAGATCAGAAATCATGAGCACCCAAGCAGAGAATCAAGCAGGCACAAACTATACGTGCTAGTAGACTAGAACCGATAATTAATAAACAATTCCAACAGCCAGAGTACAGTTGCAACAAAGCGAATTAGCTATAAAGAGCAAGAAGTCATAGCCAAATTATATGACCTAATTTTGATCAGAAACTCAGATGTGATCCACAGAGAAGAAAAAATTAGCATTTAAACAGGAAAAATGAATCTGCTTAAACGCATTGATGTTTGAGAAACAGCATTATATGGGCAGAAAGTTCTTTGTGAACATTCTAAGGTACCTATATTGGACAATACAATCCCATCGCAGCCACTCGGTTTATAATACTTMTGCAATTCAACGCGTTTTATAGAGGAGCGATGAATGAATCCTTATACAGGCAGTCCGCAGGCTGGAATCATTCATAATCCCAATAGTGGCACATAGCTATTGATGATTGCAATTATTCATCCCAAATGATTTCGTGCTTACTATTACTCTGTCACTCACTTCCAAGGCAGTCGTATTAAAAAAAATGTAAAAACATATGGCAAAGGAAAATTTTCTTGCTGGCAAATAATAATGCCATGCATTAACTTTACTCTTCTGGAAAAGGGAGAACAAATAAGCTTCCAATCAGGAATTTCAGATCCAATTAAATTCTGCCAACTACTTTTTCCAGCTATATGCACAGGAAATATGTCCAATCCACCAATAAAGTTCATTTCGACGAAAAAACCAAATAGATAAACGTTGACGATCACTAGTTAGTAGTTGATACCATCTGTAAACCACGAAACATTAGAAAACGAAAACAAATAAATGCTTACATTAGAAACATTAGAAGTTAAAAATAAACGAAAACAAAAGATCAGTTATGACATCTGTAAACCACGAAATCGTGAACTGTGAAGTAAAAGCTTTCCGAGTGGGGTGTGACCGTGTGTCTTGGTACGCGAAGAGCATAGAAAACGATAAGAATGTTGAAAAAGCCACCACTGAGCGACCACATTTCCAGATCTCAGCGTAAGAGAATACAATCACTTCAAAAGAATCCGAAAATGGAACTCTTACCGGACACAGTTTCAAAGATGAGAGAAATTTACGAACCACTAAACCACAATTTGATCAAACATATTCCCAGCCCAAACGAACAAATTATACAACAGAAATGAATAACTCGCATACAAATGAACATAAATTTCACTTTCTAAACACAAAAAATAAAAGAGTTCGAGGACCGTGTGAACACCTTCAACCTCCCTTTTGGTGGCCGAGATACCACGAAAAAACTTCGAAAGAACGAAAAGTATAAGGTAATGAATTTTGTACGTATTCTATTTTTAAGCCGCAACGATGAAAAAGAGAGGAAAAAAACCGAGGAAAATGATAACGTCGTGCCAAATAAAGTACAAACCCCATCTGGCTGTAACAATTAAAAACACACACGAAACAACAACAAAATACGATGGATCGAATTCCGTTTCCTACGTGTTCCTCGGCAACCAGAGGGAACAAACAGAGTCTGAACAAGACTCAAACAAAGTCGAGCCACAGATCAGAAGACTAAAACAGGGTCGAAAACTCACAGTTCCGGCGATCGGAAGGGGAAGAACGTGGCCGGAGCTAGAGGTGGAAGGAAACTGTGCCGGTGCGTGACGGATCAGAGGGCCGGGACACAGAGA